TATATCCACTAAATTCCGCTAAAACCAATTTATCTCTTCCAACAGTAACGTTACTAGTATTTACTCAGAAAATACTGTTAAGTCAGCGTGGGATTTAATCAGAAATTTCACTGGTGGAAATGCAATTTTCACAATGCCTAGTACCCCAATTAAGGTTCATAATTTATATATGATTGCACTATTTACTCAATTTTTTATTAAAAACTAATGTTAACTAATGTTTAATTTTTTTGTTTTTGTTTTTAGTGTCCCGGTGCTGCCATTAAAATAGCTTACCTTGCCGAGGATCGTTTTACAAAAAATTTTGTACGAAATAGAACCAAAGTTATTTACAACACGGCAATGGGCAAGATATTTAGTGTGGACAAATATGCCGATAGTTTAAATCGTATCGCTAAAGAACGCGATATTCAAGTTAATCTTCAAACTGAGCTAACTGAAATACATAGTGATAAACATGAAGCGGTGTTCAAAGACATAAAAACCGGTGAATCCAAAGTCTTCAACTATAATTTATTACATGTAGTTCCACCAATGGGCCCACCTTCATTTATCGCTGAATCAAAGATTGGAAATGCTGCCGGATGGGTAGATGTTGATAAATATACTTTACAACATGTAAAATATCCAAACATTTTTTCACTCGGTGACTCTTCCTCTGCTCCAACTTCGAAAACTGCTGCTGCAATTTCTGTTCAATCTGGTGTGTTGAAAAAGAATTTACTAGCTGCTATTAATGGAAATTTCGATCCGTCTCTTGCTGCAAAATATGATGGATATGCTAGCTGTCCTTTACTTGTTGGAAGAGATAAATTGGTTTTAGCGGAATTTAGTGGATATACTTTGAAACCAATGGAAACTTTTCCTTTTGACCAAGGTGTGGAACGAAAATCAATGTATTATCTCACAAAAGAAGTAAGTATTTATTTCGTTATTCTGAAAATTGATTGTTCATTTTTCTTATGTAATACTTCTATGTAGATTATTCCTGAAATTTATTGGTCTAGACTTTTGAAAGGAACTTGGACTGGTCCTCATGATGTTCGACAATGGTTATCATTCATTCCATAGTATTGTTGTGTTTTAGGATATAATCCTAAAAATCCTACACGTAATATAAAACTTTTACTGTAATTTTTTTTTTCTTTCTCTGTGATTCATAAATAAAATATTTAATATTCTTGATTCATAATTGCGATGTTCTTGGTTTATGGAAAAAAACATGATTGCATGTTCAAATACATATAAATTATAAATTTTCATATACGGTCTAGTCGCATCAAATCACTCATCGGCTCTTAAGGTTTCGTTTCGTAGCAGTCATACGTGAGGTCGTACAGATCACATGCATGCCATTGTGGCATGCACAAATTTTAAGGGCATGCCATTATTAATAATACATTTTAAATCTATTTAAATAATTTGATTGGCTAAAGAAAAAGTACCATTTTTAACACGATTTACCTATTTTTTACGTACGTAGCTAATTAACAAAATCCATTTTAGCTATAAAAGGATTTTTACGGTATCACAAAATTGAGAGTGTCGTATAATATATGGTCTTTGGCTTGGTCTTTGGCTTGGTCTTTGGCTTGGTCTTAGTCTTGGTCTTCCTCTATAACAGAGCAAAACGGAAAATTTTGCAGATGTATTTGTAAGAAAATGTATAGATTTTTTGATCATATGTCGAAAAATAAATGGTTTTTTGTATTAGATTACAACCTATTTCGTTGTTTTCAATTTTACATTTTTTTTTCGTTCGGATTTTTTGCCGCCCTGATGAATTGATAATCTAAAGTTCTACTTTATAAGAAGCGAAGCGTTCGTAAAGATTATAAGCGAATGTGTTAGGTGCACCTATATGATGATCTAAGTTGGTGAAACGCGGATTTGCTGTTTTTGCTTTTACCGGTTTAATATTACCCATTTTTGGTGAAAAAATGGCAGAGATTAACTGCACCGCAAAATTGAAAGCATCATATAGTTGGTCTTGCTCTTGCTATGCTACAACAGAACAGAGTAAACCGGAAAGACTAAAACAGACATAACCGATCAAGAGCATTAGAGAATTTTGTAAATGTGTTTGGAGAATGCCTAATCTTTTGAGAAACATGAATAGTTTTTTGTAAATATCTTGTAGATAATTTCGTTGTTTTTGCCTTACATTTTTTTTTTCATCCCGAATTTTTTACTCCCCTGATGAATTGATAATTTAAAATCCCTAATTTATAAGGGACAAGGTGTTTATACGATTATATAAGCAAATTTGTTTGATTGTTAATATTCGCTTTAATTTTAAGCAAAATTAATTTTAATTAATTGGTTTTCATAACCTGGCCAGGCCAAATTTTGAGAACTTAAAGTCTATTTAAAAGTTTCATGTTAAATTTCAAATTTGTATGACCTATTTTTTTTTTTTTTTTTTTTGATAAATCATATAAATTGTTCAATATAAAATTTATAAGTCTATACTGTGATGGATTATAGTTATTCTTGTAAATTTTGGGAATATCTGGTGAAAAGTTGACTGAATGATTGTTTGGCCGATTTGATGAATTATTGAAATGTTTATTATTACATTGATTTGTAATTTAAAACCCACGTAAAACTACAAGGCTTTAAATGACCTCATTTCATGTCCTAATCTAAGTGATATATCTGATTATAACTTATAAAAATATTAGTCAGGCTTTTCTTCTATTAAAGTCTTAAGGATTTTTTATATCATTCAGGTTTAGTAGACATAGTTTTTTTATAGGTGAGGCACTATTAAATTATCTGGTTATCTAGATAATTTATTATGACTATATAATAAAAATATCTACTCAGATACAATTTTTATTCTGAAATTGTTTGAAAACTTGACTTATTGGAGATGTGCTAACACTTAAGTGTTTAGCAATTGTTTAAATTAATAATCTTTCTAAATTTTTTTCTCTGATTTTCAGCAAATATGTTATATTTAACCAGTATTATATCGATTATATTAGTATTGGTTATCTGATTATTATTGATTAAAATTGTTACTGACACATTGTAAAAACAGAAATAGTTAAATCAATTAATATTATATTGTAGAGCAGTAGTCAGACAAGCCCTTCAGTTAGGTATTATTTTAATTGATTGTATTTCACCAATATAATAGATTACCTATAGATATATATTGATAATCAGTTAGATTATGCAAGGTTTCACAAGATGTTAGGAATATAGTTTTATTGTTTTACATTTTTTACAAAATGATGGCTTTAATAAACAGAAGTCATTGGCATAACTTTGTCTAAATAAAAAAAATAGAAGCAAAAAAGCTTTTTTGTAGTTACATATATATAAATATTAGATTAAATATAGTAAAGCTTATGGATATTCTATAGAAAAATAAGCTTCACTAATAATTAGTAATCATTAATTTTTTAATATCAGAGTTGTGGAGTTTGCAAAGTTTGCTTACCTATTCTATAGAACATCCAAGCTTATACTTTAATAAAATCTTTAAAAATATTTAAATAGATTACTTTATATTGTAATAGAAATTTTAAATTGGTTTTTTAATATTAATTAAAATATTAATTACAATA